AAAGGATCTTTGACAGCTTGTTTGAAAGTTTTGGGTTCAGTTTGAGAAGAAATCATGGCAGTGAAACATGTATGGGATGTAGACAATCTGTTGGTAGAAAGATAGTCTGAATAGGGTAAGGTGATGTACCAGGAATGTCTGAAGTAGCATTGGAACAAGAAGAGTTTGGTTGAGGGTGAATAGAATGTTTATAAACACTGAGATATGCAGGGATTTTAGTAGGTCTATTGGATCTTCTCCTGATTGTGATGATGTGGGAGATTGGGTTTCAGATGGAACAATTTGAGTAGAAAGTTGAGTAGGAATAGGTGATGGAAATTTGAGTAGGAATAGGTGATGGAGATTGGTTTTGTGAGTTGGAGGGATGTGATTGAGGGGAATTTATATCAGGTGGCTGAGTGATAGGAGGTTGAGTATATGACTGGTCAAATATAAATTGAGAATCAGGTGCTGGAAAAAGAGAATCAGAAGTCTCAGAAGGTGAATGATTAGCAAAGGGGAACACTGATTCATAAAAAATGACATTCCTGGAAATTAATGTTTTCTTAGTATCCAGGTTGTAAAGGATATAACCTTTACAACCTAGAGGATACCCAAGAAATATACACTTAGAGGCTCTGGAATCAAATTTGGTTCTGTTGGCCAACAAGGTTGAACAATAACAAAGACAGCCAATGACTTTCATGTGATCATAAGTAGCAGGTTTATTGAAAAGCATTTAAAAAGGAGATTTATCATTTAAAACAGGTGTTGGAATTCTGTTGATGATATGAGCAGCAGCAAGAACACAATCAATCCAGAAATGTAAAGGCAAATGAGCATGAAAAAGTAAAGCTCTAGCTACTTGCAACAAATGTTGATGTTTCCTTTCAACTCTTGCATTTTGTTGTGGTGTTTCAACACATGATGTTTGATGAATAATGCCATGATCAGTATAAAATTGTTTAAGAAAGAATTCAGAACCATTATCAGTTCTGATAATTTGTATTTTCTTGTCAAATTGTGTTAACACCAGATTATAGAAATGATGCATATGAGTTTTGATGTCTGATTTTAAAACAGTTGGATAAATCCAGGTTACTCTACTGTAGTCATCTACAATAGTTAGGAAATATTTATGACCAGAATGAGAAATAGTTGAAAATGGACCCCATAGATCACAATGAATTAGTTGAAAAGGAGTAGTAGCAGAAGAGGAACTTTCAGTAAAGGGTAACCTTTTCTGTCTGGAAAAGTGACATACATCACAAGGAGTCATAACTCTGTTTTTTGAAACAAGAAATAGGTAATGTATGAAGTTTAGAGTATGATAAATGGCCTAATCTGTAGTGCCAGATGGAATTGTCATGTGTGATTATGAACAGGTGATGGATTTACATGTGAAGGGGAGTTAACATTGACAGATGAGCATACAGGTAAAGCAGATACATTGGTGTTCATCTGAGATTGTAAAGTATTGAAACTATTTAATCTGAGATGATATAAGCCATCTTTAAGATCAGCAAAACCAATCACTGTCTGGTTTGACAGATCCTGTAAAATGCAAGATGAAGACAAGAATTTGACAATGCAATTGTTTGTGGCTGTTAACTTAGAAACTGAAATTAGGTTAAATGAGAATGATGGAACAAACAATGCATCATGTAATATTAATGAATCAGCAAGTTGTACATGACCAACATGAGATGCAGTAGTGTGGTTGCCATTTGGAAGATTAATTTTAATGGAGGTGGATATGGCAGGTGAAGAATAGAAATCAGTAGTGCAAAGCATGTGGTCAGTAGCTCCAGTATCAAGTATCCATGTATTTTTAGACAAATGTCTAGTAGCCATGCATAACAAGGGATTAGATATACCTGAGGGCTCAGCAAAAGCAGTTGCAACAACAGGTGAGCTGGACTTATTAGAAGCCAGGTCCTGTGACTTTTTTAATGCTAAGAATTCATGAAACAAACGATCAGTCATGGAAGAATCATCAGTGACAGTATCAGAGTTAGCAGAAACTGCTAGCTCTGATACCATATTAGAGGAATTTGAACAGTAAAGTGTATAGAACAAAAAGTGAAAACCAAACGATTGTATTATCTGAGGAAGATGAAATGAAAAAGTGTTTGGGATATTAGGGTTTCTGCCCTTATATACTACTATGCTAAACATAAAGTGTTAAATAGCAAGTAACACTTTTACAATGCAGAAATAACTAAAAATGTAGTACAACAATGAAAGCTCTATGTACAACTATTCTATTACTTGAATCCTAATTGAATATACTCTTTTAGAATAACATACAATTTAATTTTTACAATGCAATGAACTAGGCACAAGTTTGAATTACATTGTGTCCCTTTCATTTAATTTTGTTGATAATGCCATGTATAGACAATTTATACGGCAGTTATAATCATGAGCAAAAAAGTGTCACGGCATACCGAGTATCGGTTTTGCTACGAAGCCAACAGTTGGTTTCATAATAGAGTCAATCTTCTATATACAACAAATAAACTTACCATATTAATAAAATTGTATTAATGTTATTTAAGTAGTCAGAAAATATGGTAGGTTTACTTGTTGTAAATATATAGAAGGTTGGCTCCACTATGGAGTCAACTGTTGGCTTTATAGCAAAACCGCACCGAATATACTTGCTTCTAGAAATCATCAGGTTCCTGAGGAAAAAGTTATATATTACTTGGAAATTTTACTAAATGAATCCTAATGTTTCTTGTTTGAATGTTTAAAGTAAATAGTGACAAATAATACATATATGTGTGTTACATGTACTTGGGTTGATGATTAGTGGAGTTTACAAGAATGTTTAATTATTTATAATATATTTAGAGGGTGATTGGTAAGGTGTTATAATCAGTTAAAATTAATTTTGATTTAAAGTGGATTATGTTGAATCAGGTTGATTGAGTGATGACGTATCAATATTAAAGCTTATATGATGTAAAAGTACATTA